GGGTTATATACATTTATGACTTTATAATTTAATTTCTACTTACATTTATTTGTTTATTGTATTTTTGTTGGCAATTAATTGTATGCTTATATATTTATTGAGCATTTATTTATTTCTGTATTTATTTTTAAATATGGCAGAGTTGGTCCTCCATACGGCAGGTTAAGGGATGCTTGGCAAAAAAATGCAAAGCGAGTCAGAGGTTCATCTCCATAACGACCATTTGGCCCTCATTTTATTTTAATAGATTTTTCACAAATGGGCAAGATGTCCTAACTCTGAAATGACAAACATTTCCTTGCAATTAGCCTTTTGGGACAAGTTACTTATCTGTACCTTATAGACTCACAGTAAAAAGTAAACCAAATAATACTGTATTACCAGTAACTTTTAAATAATGATTTAAAGTTGTTCTGAATGCAAACGAAAAAATGTGGCATCCTAAAAAATAGAAGGGAATCAGATATGACAGCTGACTGCATGAACATGGTCAAACATCATGGCAGGTTCATAATTGCAGCATGAAAAATATTCAACAACTACAAATACAAATTTAAATTACTACAACCGTAATTTGAGGATAAGCATCATGATAACATCCAAACAACATCCCAGGTGGTAGAGTGTTTTACAGTCCGTATTCCTCCAGATCCCGCTGGATCACAATTTCTGTGACTGCAGATTCTGACGCTTTCAGATAACTCACAATGCTTTTATTTGATCCCCAAACTTAATTTCCTCATAATATTTCACATTATCTAGAGTCAACAGATGTGTGTTGGATAGATCTTAGGCCATGATAAATTATAACATTTATTCTGACCAGTTTGTTTTTACTTTTGCGGGATTTTTAAACGGGCAACGACGCAGTCACCTTATCTCTCCAAACAGCTGTGCTGTGGACCTCGTTAGTCACAAGTTAATCTAGTTGATTGTTTACTGATTTCTTATCTGCATTTTTCTACATGAAAAAAATATCAACCAGCCATGGCGAGTCATACCCACATCATAGTGTTAGCTGCTAACTCTGGGATTTAAATTATTTTAAAAACATAAAAAATAAGGTTTCAGCATCAGCAGGTACGTGATTCAGATTTGCAATGCCCCTAAATAAATACATTTTACCCCCTTTGTACATATAGGGCAGTAAAACAAGTTCAGAATAAGTGGACTTATAACTGAAAATTATATGTAGACTGAACGCAATAGCAAATAGAAATAAAGGTGTTTCTTTCCTCAAACCACTGTTTGTGTGACCTGATACAGTTCATCATATGGGACAGAGTGTTGGTGTCTCTGAGAAAAAACACTGAAAATAACAACACTGTTGTAGAGACTTGCATTTGTGGCCAAACAGGAAAATCAAGGAAACGTGAGAGCATGGAATCTAATAACAAGAAAGTAACTTTTTGTCACAATTTGAAAAATAAAGTGGGAATTGGTGGAAGGAAGGATGAGAAGTCCAATACTTTTGTTTGCAGTCAGTTTTTCTTGAAAAGGTGCTGCTTACACATGTGTGCGTTCTGAATGATAGGCCTCTTTAATGGATTTATATTTACATTCGGGTATTTACAGAGTGGGTTGACTTGCTCATCCAAGCTGCACGTTTTGATTTATAGCTTATGGTTCAACAGGAGAAATGACATTCTATTGTGAGACAGACTTTTATTTGTATTTTTCTGTACACTTGTGAACGGCTCTGTTCTTTGTGGGGAATTATTTGCACTAACTGCTTTTCTGTGGATACAAGTTCTTTACCACATTGTTCTAATCTGAAAACAAACAAACAAAAAAAACGATCTCACAGATTACCAGTCCGAGCTTGCATTAACCCCTCTGCTTATCTTTTTATTATCCACCAAGCAGCACTGAAGCCGTTTCTCCTCAATCTTAATAATGCATATAGCTTGAAATCTCTCTTTACTACAGTCACCTTTCGCTTTGGAATGGAAGATACAAATACGTTTTACGTTTTCAATTTTTCCCCACACCAGAATAAGGGTTTGGAGGGCATTGTCACCAATTATGTAAGGTGAATAATAATTAAAATAAGCCACAAAAAAAAAAAAAAAAACTGTGAGTGACCAGTTTCGTAAACCAAATTATATATGACAAAGGTTACTTGGGTGATAGCTAGCCGTGGTTGTGTACCTTACGTCTGCAGAGTCTTACCTTGGTGTCAACATTTGGTCCTTCTTTATATCCCACATCAGTCTTAAACTTCTTCAGAAAGGACGGCTCAGCTGGTTTGATCCACGACACGCCGCTCGCTTTCCCTTTATTCATCATAAAATGATCTACAACAAACACAGCTAACACTAACAAAACACTGACATTATCAGAAGCTGTAATTGGTGCAAAATCGGCTTCAGGATGCGGAACATCCGGAGTGAGAGAGGCTCGCTGGAATTTTGAAGCTGGTGTAACGGCGAACCAGTGGAGGAGGAAACATGGGCACTCAAATGTATGTTCCGCTGGTTTTTCGCATCAATTCCATGACAGAAAATCACAAACTATGTATACGAAAAAACTTAATTAAATCCAAAAGGGGAGGTCGTCTTTGAAATAGTTTTATCTGACCGTATACATTTGTTGTAAGACAGGGGCAAATGTTTGATTTGACATCACCTCGAGCTCCACAGAGCTACAGATGCACGTCGGACGTAATTGTGTTGCTATAGCAACGACTGCTTGATTTTTCCGCTGGAGAGAATCGTCCCAAAATTAAAATAAATAAATAAATAAAACACCACCACCACCACATTTAAACAAGGCGCCATCCACACCTACGAATGAGACTTCATTTGGAGTGAAACTTGATATAGTGATATGAGTGAGTTTGGGATTCAGTCTATGGCTGCGTTCGATTTCAGCGGCTGCATCCTCAAGAGAAACCGGTTTACCTGGACTGTGTCATTCGAAATCCGAGAAAACGAGAAGTCCTGAAGAGGTTGGCTATGGGTTCAAACAGATAATTTTTTCGACTACGTGGAAGGAAGCGGCCGACGAATCTAGCCCACGGTGAACGCAACTGCCCGGGATTCGAACGCAGCCTGTATTTGTTAATCTCAGTCTGTTGTTAACTCCATTTCCTCGCCATACTCAAAAAATGGATTCTGGTGGTAATTACGCCGGCTTCGTGTACGCTCTCTCTGCGGGGTTTCTGGCTGCCGCTGGTTCCCTATCTGCAAAACTAAGCCTCGGTGCAGACCACCTAAGGGAATTGTGTGAGTCAGGGCTTAGCGGCTGGGCGGACAGTGGCGATGGACCCTCAGCGTGTGTCTCGGTAACAGTTTTTCAATGCTTCTGTTATTATAGATATTTTTTGTTGTCGTTGCTTTTCTTCTGGTTAAACACACCCGATGTGGGTACCAGAAGTGGTGAAGTTAGTTTTACTTTCGATATTCTACAGACATTTTTTCTGGGTTAATTCACTTCTTCCCTCCGGGAAAACCTCTCCTTTGCTCACTGCGATCGGAGGAAGCCGCTCTAACACTTCAAGTGCACCCTTATTAGAGACTTTACAGTAAAAACACGGCGAGTGAAAACGGGTACATCGTGTGCCAACTTCCTATTTCAAATTAAAACTTTAGGCCTAGATTCGGAAGCCAAGAGGCTATCAAACTAAAATATTGATATTTATCATATTTACAAAAAATTACACATATTTAGAGATTTCATATTAAAACTAAATGGTGTATCTCATGAAAACAGTCTAGTACCATGATTTCTTATAGCTTTTGAGTCAATTGATCACATTACCTGGAAGCTATTAAGCAAAAATGCTAATATTTCTATATGAAAATTTATTTAAAAAAAATTTAAAGTTTAAAATGAAAAAGGACGTAACTTTTGAAGATGACGGAGTACTATGATCCAACACTGAATTTGAGTCAATTGATCACATTACCTAAAAGCTATTGAGCAAAAATGGTAATATTTCCATAAAAAAATTAATAAAAATAAAGTAAAATGTAAAAATAAAAGGCGTAACTTTTGAAGACTATGTAGTACTATGATCCAACACTGATTTTGAGTCAATTGATCAGATTACCTGGAAGCTGTTGAGCAAAAATTATAATATTTCTATGTAAAAATGTAACGTCCTCCGGGGTTCCCAGACCCAGCCCTGGCGCTCACGCCTCAGTTCTGCTGCACTGTAGTCGACCAAAATCCCAGACGATTTTGAAATTTCCCCAGGACATTTTTTATGATGTCATCCACGCGCCGGCTACCATTCATTCATCCTGTCCGCTGAACTGCTGCTAGTTTTACTCACATGCCTGGAAGATGTCTAGTGCTACTACCACAGATGATTTCGCTCTCCATTTGGAGAGCGAAATCATCTGTGGTAGTAGAACGATTTAGATTAGCTCGCCGAATGAATAGAAGGGGTAGAGCGTAGCCGCCTGTGGCCCGGGCTGCTGGTCACAACTCCAGTCCAGCGCACTGATGACGTCATACACACTCTGCTCTGTTTTTAAAAGATATAAATATAAAAAATACAACCGGGGATATCTGGGGGACAGTGATTCACCTACGTTATGAATGCTGGCGTATCATAAATGATAAATTATGAACAGTTTAGTTTGTGCCTTCAACTCGTTTGCCCATAGGAAGACGTTTCTTAGATATAATGACACAAAACTCATATGGATGAGTAGAACATGACGTAATAACGTAAAATCAATGGCCCAATGTAAAAAAAAAACGGCGTTTCCCTTTAAGCGGCATATTTTGTGAAATTGTCAAGAAGAGCTGCTCTTGGCCGCTGCCTTGGTGTGACTACATGGTAATGCTTTTATGTGAATATGTGAAAAAACTATGTGAATTAACTATTGCATATAAAGACATGGAACTTGGAGATTGAGTGAAATGTTTTCTTTATTGATTTTATTTTTAATATTTATTTTTATTTTTAAGTTTTTTTCTATTTTTAAATTGACTGATGTGCTAAAAGTTAGGAGGGGGGACATTTGTGTTGTATACAGTAGTCCTGCCTTTTAATATTTCATCTTCTTTTACTTGCTGTATTCCTGTTTATGTTAATAAATGGTTCAATAAAGAGAAAACACAAGTTAATTTTCAAGAATGTCTCTTCAATATTGAATATTTGACTATACATGGCTAGTATTTGATCAAATTGGGGGGTGGGGACCAAAGCCTTAAAATCCCACTTTTTTCAATATCCAGAAGTATAGAAATATCATTTTGTTCAGTCTCCAATTGACCAGTATTGCAATATTTTAGATGATAATACTGCACAAGAATACCCAATGTTGAAACTATAAGAATAACCTGGTTGTACTGGTCTAATAGTTTTTTTTTTTTTTTTCATAATTCATAGGCAGTGTAGAGATAGATGATGTGAATATTTTGGGTCATATTTCTAACAATGCCAGTTTATGAACTAAAGCCTTTCAAGGCCAGTAACGATTCTTAAAAACAGTTGTACTGTACAGCTACCACTTAGTTTAAAAAATCATAGTTTTGAATTGGATGTGATGTTATTAATGTTCTGTTAGTTGGTAAAAACAAAACATCTAAGCTAATCATTCTTTATGTGCTTTGCATTTAAACACATAAAGCTATAAAACAAGTGGTCTCTTTTCAGCTCCACGTTCCCCTCCGTCTGCTATGTGGAGTTCTGCTGCTCACCTGTAACACTGTAATGTGGACCATGTTCTCCAAGGCTCTCCGTTACTGCTCCTCTTCAGCGGGAGCCACTGTCACCACCACCGCCTCCAACTTTATCTTCTCGGTAAGTACAAACTAGAACCTCAAATGATCAAGCATTATGTCTTTCTAAAGATATATAATCTATTTTTTATATTGTTGGTGTGTCAGGCGATCCTTGGGAGGCTCATCTTTTATGAGACTCACAGCGGCCTCTGGTGGACGGGCATCTCTATGACTCTATGTGGACTGCTGTTGCTCCATGCTGCAACACCTCACACAAACTTGCAAGAAACCAAAAAACAGAAGTGATAGATCAGGGACAGACTTTTCCTCAAATAATTTTTTCATTTTCTTTGTTGCTTATGTTTTTCATTTGTAAGTATCTGTAAATATGGACAATTTAAAATGAAATACAAGTCACACAATAAAACAATACACTACAAGTTGTGGGGTTTTAAGTAGTTTTACTTGTTTCTATTAGAGATTAGCAGATCTCACCTTAGGCATAGGAAACCGTAGTAAGAGGTTCATCCAGTAAGCGATAGGTTGCTGATTCTGTCCGTCTCTGTTGTGTCCTTGGGCAAGACACCTCACCTGCCTTGGCTGCTTTTGGTGGTCAGGCGGGGCTGTCTTCCATGGCAGCCTCACTTTTGCCAGTTTGCTCTATGCTGCTGTTGCTGTGTAGTTTACCACCATCAGCATATAAATAATTAAATCTAGTGTGAAGCTGTATTGGGTCCTTGAACTTGATAAAGCGCTACATACATAAGGCCATTCTAATAATTTTATACAGAAGTATCTTGTTGGGATACAAGTTCTAAACACTATAGTAATTAAAAGGTATAACAATTTCCGAAGTTGAGAGCACCACGGGAACCAGCGGAGTTCCAAAGCTAACGGCAGCCAGGGATAACCGCAGCCCATCTGTAGCAGCCCTCAGAAATTACATTATTAAAACCTAGTGTTCAAAGCAATGAAATTCAATGTCTAAACCTAAAATACAGTTTTGTTAAATAACTTTTCAAACTATAGAATTTCATTTCAAAATATGTAAATTTAGATTCTGTTTTACCAATTGAAGTTCAGTTTCTAAAGGCACGTCGTTCTGTTTGTAAATGGTATAAAATATAGATTTAATTTTGGGAACTACATCTTTTAGAAAAAAAAAATTCTCTTTGAGTCATCCATTTTAAGGTCTATTAAGTATTAGACTTATACCCAGTTTTCATTTTGAGTTAGGTCTGGGTCTGTCCTACCACGGTGTGACTAGATTTAAGACCTGAAACTGCAACTTTTAACAATTACTTTGTGAAAGCTTGTTTTAACATTGTTTTGTCTTTGTTAATTTTTTGCATCCAACTGTGTATTTTCTTTCTTCTGCAGGGCAGATCCTTCCAGTCCAGTGAAAACTCAATGGAAGGTATTTTGACTTCTCCAGCAGAACTCGTCACTTTGATGCCATGAACCTGATTTGTCTGAGATCTTCAACTTAGTCCAGACTCTGTGACTTATTACTGCTGTTCTATGAGGAGCAAGTGACTACTTTTCATGTATTAGTTCAACCATTATTAGTTGTATGCTACATTGTCAAGTTTTTTATAGTGATTTGTGATCGTGCAGACAATATGATCTGTAATATCTTTATTCCTAGATGTTATTTATAATTGTCTTAATAATTTTCAATGATAATCGGTGCCTTGATTAAATTTGTGCATCTTTAAGTCTCCTATGTAAAATGTAAGTTTCACATGTATTGTACTGTATTTTATTTTATCCGGTAAAATACCGGCAGCTGTGGTTGCCGGGAATTTACCGTAAAATTTAACTGGTCATAATAAATGTTTTACAATTTTACCGTGTTTTTTTTTCATTAACTTAGCCTTTAAAAAGGTTTACCACATTTCACTTTTTTTTTTTTTTTTACTTTATTGCCTCAAATGCGGGTTATCAAGCATTTAGCATACAGGGGAACAGAAAGAGGCAGGGCAACATAAAAGATAAATAAACACAAAAAACAATAAGTAATAATAATAAAAATAAATCAGAAATCTAGTCTGTTACACTGTAAAGGGTATAGCACATATCAAGTTCTGTACTCCAGGAGAACAAGGATATTTTAGATTTAAAGAAGCCTTAATAATAACAACAGCAATAATAGTAATACATGGATAAAGTAACACTGTACAAGAGTCCTAAGCAAGATATTCAGTAACTGAGGTCCACCTTCTCAGAGAAACAGGTACTTTAAATGTCCAGACAGTCTGGTAGGGTCAGACTTCATCCAGTTAATAGTAATATTTTTTCTTGCAATCATCAACAGAAAACACATCCAATAAAAATAACGAAGGGTCCATAGGAAGATCCACTGCCAAAATCTTTTCCAGTTCTTTTTTGACAAATTTCCAGAATTTTTGCAGTTTGGGGCAGTCCCAGAATATATGTGTATGGTCACCAACCATACCACAGTTCCTCCAGCATTTGTTGCTGGGATTGTTTTTGAAAAAAAAAAAATTGTTAGTGGCTCATTTCTCAGGGTTTTATAATATTCCCCAGGAAGGCCATCTACCCCTGGAGATTTGTTACTTTTAAGTCTGAGAATGTTTTCCTTGATTTCTTCTTCTGTAATTGGGCGTGTCATTGTATCTGCCTACTTTTAGTCTGGCTAAATTAATTAAATTAAATGTTTTGTTTTTTTATGAGGTTGAACCTCAGCTGTATACAGGTTTTGGTAATAGGAAGCAAATGCCTCGGATATATCTTTTGGTTGAGTTAACATCTGGTTATTTTTTGGTCATTTTATTTTATGTACTACTCTGTTAGATTGAGCTTTACGCAGCTTGAAGGCCAGTAGGCGGCTTGCTCTGTTGCCAAATTCGTAGTACTTCCTATTAATAAATCGCAGAGCTCCTTCTGCTTTGTAGGTTAATAAGTCATCCAATTGCTGTCTTTTTTCTTTTAATAATGACAGATCGTATATCGGGGTGTTTTTTTGATCGTTGGTACTGTGCCTCTAGCTTCTTAATTCCACTCTCCAATTCAACCTGCTGGGCTAGTCTTTGTTTTTTTGATCTGGATGAAATAGCAATTATGTTGCACCTCATCACCACTTTGGCTGCCTCCCATAGAGTAGAGGGGGAGACTGTGTCATTATCATTAGATTTCAAGTAATTTCTTATGTTTTCACTGATTTTTTTGTAGGGTTGTTTCATCATTTTATAATGATACATTGAGTCTCCATTTCAGTTATTTTAAAAGTTTTGTACCATAATAACATTTATTCTACATTGTAAAATAAACAAGAAATAACAGTTAAAAGTATTGTAATGTATCTGTTGTTTTACGGTAGATAAACTCCATGAAAACTCCATGCACAATGACCCCGGGCCAGGAATTGAACCCTGGGCCTTCTTGCTGCAAGGCTCCTCTAGAACCTCTGGAGACTATTTCACTAAGGATTCTTCATAAAGTCAAGAAAATTGTGTACAGCAGTGAGCATCCTCTTCAGAAGATTTTTAAGGCTTCTCCATGTCCTGTGCAAGACAGAATACTTTAGAGGATCTTTCCTGCCCACAGCTATCAACACCTACAACACCTGTTTAGAAAATATCTTATGATTTACTGCAACATTTCGTTTATCTTTGGGGAATTAAATGTTGAACTCAGTCTGTAGTGTGTTTTCCCTCTTCAATTTTTGTGTGTGACTCCAAATCCAGGCCTCTTTTGGTTATCATTTTTTTTATTTCCATTGATGATTTTTGTATATTTAGTTATTTAATATTTGTTCGTCCTTTAATTTTATGAGCAGTGTAGATGCTAAGAAAGTGCTGAAATTTAAGCTTCACAAACCAGAGAAAGGATTCATAAATTACAAACTTGGTTTTATATATTGTACTAGTTAAAAATAACCTAACCAAGGTTTGAAATATCTGGGTGTTTTTCTTACTAGAGTAGAATAAATGTGCTAAAGATAGCGAAAATGTGGTGGAATTGCACAATCAGAAGCTAGAATCAGAAACCAACTTCAGCTTTGTGTTTGGAAGAATGTTTTATTTTATTTATTTTCTTACATGTAGGTACAGACAATAAGGGAATAACCTAAATATAATCTGCTTCTCTAATTTGAGTTCTTTAAAAAGGAATAAACTCATCAAGGGATCAGAACTCATAGTCATCAGTAAACAGGAGTCAAAGTTTGAGGAAGACAACTAAAAAAAGTACCATTATCCTTTAATTTAGTTCTTACATTTCATGTAAAAATGCAAGTTTGTATAAAGAAGCACCTTATTTTTTTAATGTCAGGAAAATGGTTTCAAAAGAACAGAGAAAATAAAAGCTTTGAATATGTCCCTCATTACAACAAAAAAAAACACAAAAACAAAAAAAAAAGTTATAAATAAATGTAAACATTTTGCTTAGTACTACAATATCCAGCACCCATTCACCAGATACCAGACAATATTTTATCTTAACCATCATTTCCAGGTATGTCTACAAACATATCATGAATTATTGTGACAGAGTTCATATAATAGACCTTAGATGTTAAAGGTAACAGTTAAAATTATGGAGGATAAGGCACATGTGAGTCCACAGGACAATGTATGGCTCCTACAGTGACTTCTTTCTAACAAGGCTAATTTGTTTCATGACAAAATGTCCAACAAGCCCGACTTAAATCCACCTTGATACAAGTATATGTTCTTCCTTATATGTTTGCGGCAGGATTAATATAACTATGGTGAAATTAATTTAGCTTTTGTAAGTGTTGAAATAAAACATTTAACTTTGTAGTGATTTGGGTCTGTTTCTTTGGCTTGAGCAAAGTCAGTGTGTTGGGGTGTTGTTCCAGACATTTTTATGCCTAATCAAAACTTGAAGCTGCAATGCTTTGTCAAAAAAAAAAGGAAGCAGTCTAAGCTCTGTGATGAATGTTACTCCTGTTAGGGATGCTCTCAGGTCTAGAAATTTGAACAAAATGGGCCAGGCACTGATTGTGTAGAAGAACAATGTACTTTGACCAAGAGTTTAATTTTCACCACGAGAATTGGTGCTAGATGTCAGTCGACTCTCTGCTCTGCGCAACCCTTCCTCTCTGAGAATAGTTACAAACAACTCATGTTTTGGTTTTGTCCTCCTGCCACTAGAGGGTGCTACTGCTGGTGAGAAGTATCGTGTTCACTTCCTGTTTGGACTACTGAGCAGTGTTGTTGCTGTTCAGACTATCTCGGTCTGAAGTAAGTTCTTTTTTCCGTGACTCTTTTCTAAATCTTACTTGTTCCTCTCCTCTCTCCTGCTCTCTGTGTCAGATGTTTAGTTATTCCTCTGCCTCCTTTACTGATAATGGTATGTGTAATAACTGTAGTATTTTTTTTTTCAGCTTTGGAGGCGAGGGTGTCAGTTAGAATCCAGGCTTCAGGCTGTTGAAAATCCAGAAGTTAAAGTAGGCACCCCATGTAGTTTTCCTCTAAAAGTGCCTTAGCAGCCAGGCGATTTGGTAACGGTACGCCGAAAGCATAGTCATGCCCACTGGTCACTACGAATCCGTTCACGTTTTCAACCGATTTTCCCCACTCAGTGACTCAGTGGTTGTCTAGGTGGTGTCCTGAAAACAACGTGGGCTACATTAATAATTGGCAATCCTTTTGGGG